GGCATTAAAACATCCACAGATGCAGAAGATTTCTCTCAAAACAGGGGGGGTGAGGTTCTAAGCCTCACCACTGTTGATCCCCAATTTCTCACCTGATGGCCCCCCTGTGACTGTGCCTGTCTTAGGTTGTTCCTCCCTTGAGTAATCTTACCCATCTCTGGCTAACCAGTCATCTTCTGGGGCCATACAATTTCCCTCCTTTTTAAAGCAGAATAACATTCCATCAAATTTTACTTATCCGTTCATCACCAATGAACACTTGGGCAGCGCTTCCATATTTTAACTACTGTGAATTCAATATGTGTGTATTACATGGGTGTATACATCTCTCTCAAGACCCTGCTGTCTTTGAGCGCAACCCAGAAGCAGCACTGCTGGATTATATGGTAATTCATCATTAATTTTTTGAGTAACCACTGTGCTGTTTACCACAGATGCTCTATTGTTTTACATTTCCACCACTAGTACCCAAGTTCCAATTCCTACATGTCCTTTTCAACACTTTCAATTTTCCTTTCCTTTTTTTTAGTGTAGCCATCCTCATGGACATGAGGTAGTATTTCACTGTAATTTGCATTTCCTTAATGATTTAATGTTGCTGAATATCTTTTCATGCGCTTATTGGCCATTTGTATATCTTCTTTGGGGAAATGTCTATTCAAGTCTTTTGCCCATTTTGAATCACATTGTTTGGATTTTTTGTTGAGTTTTAGGACTTCTCTATATATTCTGGGTATTAATCCATAATCAGATACATGAATGCAAATATTTTTTCCAATTCTGTTGTTGCCTTTTTACTCTGTTGCTAGTGTCTATTGAAAAATAATTATTTTTAATTTTAAAGCAGTCCAATTTGTCTATTTTTACTTTTGTTGTCAGCGACTTTGGCATCACATCCAATAAGTCATTGCCAAATCCAGTGCTGTAAGGCTTTTGCCCTATGTTTTCATCTAAATGTTTTATAGTTTTAGGTCATATATTTAGGTCACAGATCCATTTTGAGTTAATTTAGTATATGATGTTTTATAAGGGCCCAAGTTCATTCTTTTTCATCTGTATGATAGTTTTCCCAGCACCATTTCTTGAAATGATTGTCTTTTCTCCACTGAACTGTCTTGGCATCCTTGTCAAAAATCATTTGGCTGCATATATAAGGATTCATTTCTGAACTCCCTATTCTAGTGCATTGGTCCAGATGTCTGTCCTTATGCCAGTACTATACTGTTTACACTGTTTTTATTTCTATACCTTTGTAGTAAGTTTGAAATCAGAATCTGTGAGTCCTCCAGCTTTGTCCTTCTTTTCAAGAATTGGGGTCCTTTGAGACTCGGTATAAATTTTAGGGTGGGCCTTTCTATTCCTGCAAAACACATTTGGATTTTGACAGGGATTACATTAAATATATAGATTGCTTTGCATTAGTATTGACATCTTAACAATATTTAGGCTTTCAATCCATGAATATAGGATATCTTTCCATTTATTTATGTCTTCTTTAATTTGCTTCAGAAATGTTTTATAGTTTTCATTTTGTCTTTCACCTCCTTCGTTAATTCCCAAGTATTTTATTTTTTTTGATGCTATTCTAAATAGAATTGTTTTCTCTTAATTTTCTTTTCAGGTTGTTCATTGTTAGTGAATAGAAATGAAACTGAGTTTCTTATGTTGAATTTGTATCCTGCTACTTTGCTGAATTCGTTTATTAGTTCTAACAGGTTTTTGGTATCTTTCTACTTATAAGATCATATTATCTGTAAACAGAGATAATTATCCTCTCAAATTTGGATGCCTTTTCTACCTTTTTTCTAGTTGCTCTGACTAGGACTTCTAATGCTATATTGGACAGAAGTAAAAGCAGACATCTTTCTCTTGTTCCTGATCTTAAAAGGATAAGCTTTCTTATATAGAAAAAGGATCACTACTCTGTTTGAGAAAGTATAATTTTTTGAAAGGAGATTAAAATGGTTAAATATAAACTCCCATGACCTCACTATTTCTGGTTAAAAGTTGACACAATTACTGATCATTATAGATAACAATCTGGACCTATTGAAGTCTGTACTACTAGAATACTCCATGACCCAGAAAAAAGAATGTCTTTGTAATCTGAGGGTCTAGCCTACAGAGAGGTTTAGCAAAATCTTTCTCTGCTAATTCTCCTATTTTCCAGTTTATTTTGGCTATTATAACTATGCAAGCAAAGCACAGTTCCACTTTTCCCTTCTTTTATAGTGTAAGATGTTCAGTAGTATGTAATGGAATATGCTGTGGGATACCTGTGTGAAAATAGAGGAAATCTCACTTAAGGTGGAGTCAGAGCCCTGAGGGGGGGTGCTGTGATTCCACGTGACACTTGCTGCAGCCCACCTACCCAAAAGGAAGAGTGAGGAATTATGTTGACCAGGGAGGACATTTTTCACATGGGAATTTCATCTCCTGTTTTAATAAAAAAAAAAAAAGGAAGGAAGCTCTCTCTCTGCCTCAGCAGCAATGCACTAACTAATCAGAAACCATCACAACCTTGAACTCTTCTTCTCCAATGACCTTTTGTCAAATCAACCCTCCCCAATTTCCTCCTTTCCTCTATAAAGGCAAGCTTCTCTCTTTTGTTCTCCCTACTTGCCTACCCAAATTGCAATTCCTCTGCTATTGATTGGATAAACTCTTATTGCTAGTAAAATAACTGGCTATTTTATTTTTAAGATTGACACCTTAAAGAGGAGTTCAGTGATGGATTTGTCAGCAGAGTAAGACAGAAGAATCAGGAGCACTGGGAAGGGTGTAAGCTGAGAATTGGGCAGAAGAAGCCATTTATATAAGAACAAGTAAATGTGCATTTCATAGCTAAACATAGACATAAGTTTTGAAGCCATGGTGATGCATGTGGAAAAATGGAGGTAAAGTAGATTTGTTCTAGAATATCAAGACAATAATTAACTAAATAAGAAACAGAGGTTGGGCTGATATACATAGCAGAGTGGATAAGAAAAGGCTCTGGAATAAAATAGTTGTGTTAAAATTCAAGTGTCGTCAATACTGCAGAAACCACTGAAGAATTAACTCACTTGGACAAAGCCATTTAGACACACCCAATCTGCTCTGTAATCAGGCGAGGGAACTGGGGACATGTACAGCCAATCCCCTACGTAACTCAAAATCCAAAACTGAGAAGCATAGTTTCTATACATTCTGCTATTATCCCAGATGGTTGCAGGGAGCAATGCATGCTCTACTGAGTAACTCTACTGAATAATGAAGTGTGTATTAAATAAAATATTCCTATATTTTCAGTTCATTAAAACGGTGATATTTCCTGACACAAAGTCGGCTCAGGATTCACATTTGTCTCACTCATAAAGATATTTAGTCCCACTGAACTAGGACAAAAATCTCAAGTCCTAAACACCAGGCATAGGAAGTGTTTCCCCTCTTTTGCTCTGAAAGAAGAGTCCTGCCGAGTTTCTATCACAATGGCTTCCAACCTGAAATTAATTGAATTTGAACTTATTGATATATATAGTAACATACCGAGATGTAGAAGTCTAGATATCTTAAGAGGTGGTTCCTTGTCCTACCCAATCCCAGGCCCATGGAGTGGAGATCATTTTCAGAAACAGAGGCAACCTTGCTTACCCAGCACTTCCTCTTCATAGGCACCTTCAGCGCTGCGGCAGCCCACCTCGCAGGATTCCCGCTGCTGAGAAGCCAGCCCGCCGGCCAGCGCAGCCTTTGTTCTGCTGCTGCTGCTGAGCTTCAGCTAAATATCGAAATATGAATCCATGATATGTAAGTATTCTTGTATATCATTTATTTCAACAGTAATACTTGAAGTCTTCGTTTGCTAGTGGGATAGAAACGGGATAGCAAACAGTACCTCTCAAACTTTTTTGACCATGTCCCCAATTTCAAAACACATTTAACAAAACAACTCAGAAACATACAATTGGAGGAAAAAAGATTCTTGAAACAGTGCTTACTTTTTTTCCCTTTTGAAGTTATATTGAGATATAGTTCACATACCATAAAATTACCCACTTAAAGCACCAGTTCAGTGGTTTTTAGTATAGTCACAAAATTGAGTAATCACCACTACAATCTAATTTTGGAACATTTTTTTCCCCAAAAGGAAATCCTGTTCCTGTGATGCTATCTTCCATGTTCTATTCTATTCTATTTCATTTTGTTTATTGTCTCTTTTTTCCACTGAATTGATTTTATGAACCTCTAATAGTGACACACCACAGCTTGAAAAGAACACTAGCTCAAAATGCAATTATATGTTTGTCATCTTGGTCAAAGGTTTAGTTTAGTGAGCTAATAACCTAACACTTGAGCCAAAAATGATGCCTATTTATTTTTATATCCATGTTTTCTTTGAAAAAAAATTTTTAAAGACTATTAAATTTTACATTAACTGAACAGTTTAATGGATGTCTTAATACCAATGCTAAATTTTAAGGTCTACAAAAACCTAATGATGATTAACATTTTATTTCATTAACCAAAAACAGAGTAAATGTTTTGGTAACTGAGACACAAATTTCCTGCAACTCTTATCAGATTCATTAGCATAGTTACAGAGGGGAAACAAAAACTTGGGGAAAAGACACACATTGTAAAACTACAACACAATCATATCCGTCTCCCTGCTCTCATTTAATTTATAATTATAGTACCTAAGACAACATGCTATTGTTTCTCATGATAATGATGGAAACCATGACAATGCATTTGTCCTCAACATCCCAGGTAGAGAAGGGCTGTAATTTGCAAATACTAGCTGTCCTATGTTTGATCTGCATACTCAAAGGAAGTGCAGCTGATAAAACAGGATTTGCTAGTAAAGGATTAATTTAAATACCTTATTTTGGGCTCAGGATTATTAAACTTGAGGGTTTAGTATACTTTTCACATCCTCTTTGCAGTTTTCAGTAAAATACATTCAACACATTCACTGACTGCAAAGAATAAATGTACTAAGTGGCAGCAAAATTATAATGTAACATGGAATTTTTGTTTTCAAGAAATGAAACTAAAAAAGAAGAAAGGAGATGGAATAATGTTTATTTGGAAATATAGCTAGTCCTGACTATCAGAGAAATTCTCGGCTTCTCCTTCATTTTCTCAGGGGAAAATTCATTAATAAAATTCTGATCTACCTAGGAGTTTAAAATTTTTGTTTTGTTTTGTTTACTTTTGTGAAGCTTGAACTTTTTCCAGATGTATTGAGATATAATTGACATATATAAGCTTAAGGTGTACAACATGTTGATTTGGTACATTTATGTATTGCAAATGATTACCCCCATAGTGTTAGCTGACACTTCTATCCCATCACAAAATTAGCGTTTCTTTTTTTGGTGAGAACATTTAAGATCTACTCTCTTGGCAACATTCAAGTATATAAGGCAGTATGATTAGCTATAATGACCATGCTGTACATAGGATCCCCAGAACTTAGTAATATTATAACTGGAAGTTTCTACTCTAAAGAATTTAAATGCTACCTCAAGTGAAGCCAAAACAATGGATTAGGTTTTTATCTCTCTCTTTCTCTCTTCAATCTACAGTTGGATTTTAAATGAAGTTATCCAGTGTTTCTCAACCTTGAGTTGCTTAGAGAGAATCTGAAGGTGGTTGGATTCAAGGGAGTCAAAGAATCTAAGCACAAAGCCCCTGGATGGGGCATGCCCAGGCTACTGAGCTGCCATTCCCATCTAGGAAGCCAAGCATACTTCCCAGGGACTAAATCAGCCTCATATCTCAATTCCCACCCATATTCCCATTTTCCCACAGTAGTAAGACCATCTTCACCATCATCCCTTTGGCTCCACTCCTGTGTTTCCCACCCTGGCACACATGCTATCAGTGCCTTTGCTATTCCTGTAACACAAGAAGAACATCACCCCCCAGGCTACCTCTAGTGCAGCCTTTCCATGTGAACTGTGACTTCACTTCCTAAAAAAATCATTCATTCATTCAAAGAATATTTCAGGACCTTTTATGTGCCAAGTACTATGTTAGGCTGTAGGGATCTGACAGCAAACAAGACAGGTTAAGTTACCTGCCTTCATAGAATGTACATTATCTTTGAAAGGGACAAACAATAACTGAGTAAAAAACATTTTAAACTAAAACACATTGAAAGGTACTATAAATAAAATAAGTCAAAAGCACAGTGACTGATTAGGCAAAAGTCTTACTTTAGTTAGGGTGATCAGGAAGAACCATGCAAAGGTGACCCTCGAAGCAAGACCTGAGTGATTAGAAGAAGCTGGACTTGTAAAGATCTGGGCAAGGACAAAAGCCTTGAAATGCACCCCCAATATTCAAAGAAGAGGGAAAGGCCAGTGTGGTGGGCACAGAGAACAGGAAGAGGGGTGCAGGATGAAGCAGGGGAGCCAGCAAACGTTGATAGATGGCAATTTTTCTCAAATGGCAATGAGAAGCCATAAAAACGTTTCTAAGAACAATATATCTAATTTGTGTTTTAACTTATCAAGAATAAGCTGTCTCACTTGTCGTCACCATTTTCCAAGTTATATTTTGCTAAGCTATCACTTCCAAGATCATTTCCAAGGAACATGCACAAAAATTCCCAGCTTCCCAGGTTGAAGCATTAATGGTTGAGGAGTTTGATTTCCTAAACGTGTAGGTAGCTGAGTTAAAGTACACATCTATGTGTGTATCTACCTCTACTTCTATTTCTATATAGCATGTATTACTGTTCAGTTCTACTTTATTTAAAGTGTGACATTTTAAAGTAGAAAATAGCAAAGTACAAATAGAAAAGAACAGAATAATTATATAAGTTACAACACTGAGAGATGAGATTTATATTATATAAACACAGACAACTCGGCAACATGATAATTAACAGGGAACTACCACACTAGAAGCCTAATCCTGGGCTGCTTCAATGCTTGAGAGACTAACTATCTGTGGTTTTCTTGACACAATCCTTCTAAGGACTTTTTTTGAGGGGGTAATTTTGCTTTAATCACATAAAAAAGTTCTCGGGCATTTTTTTTATCTCAGTCAGGAAAAACTTTATCTATTTACAACTGGAGTGACTTTTCCCCTCTGATTTCTCTCTTCTTAACCAAACCCCTCCTTTATCCACTCCCAAGGAAAAATCACTCTGGCACAGAATAAGCACAAACTATTAAGAAAATATTCCAGTTTCATATTTTTCTGTTTTTATTTTTAGTTTCTACAAAAGGGAATTTTTCTATTTTATTAATTTTTATTAATGAATGATAATTTGTCCTCCTTCTCCAGAACAGATAGCTCTGTGTTCTGGTTTCAAACACATTTAAATAGAACACTACATAGATTTTAAACTGAGAAATGATGCATTTTCTTCACAAATACCTATTGTCAAATAACCTACAATGAATTCTAAAGGATATGGAGTCCAGGACAGTTGAAGATTGAGTAGGAAAAAACAAAAACCTAAGGAGAAGAGAAAACCAAGTACAGGGAGGGAAGCAGGGAGTGAGCCCTGAGAAAGCTTAGGCAGCCTCAGCCAGCACTAGGTCCCTTGTATGAGAACAGGGACTTTAAAAAGCTGTGTTTCAAAATGCTGTCAAAGGAAGTTTGTAGAATAAGGAAGAAAACTGCAACTACAGTGTTCTTTTCTAATGCACTCTATTTAATGATAGAGCTCTGTGATTTATGGGGAAGGAAATGAAATCAGCAGAGAGAAGGATATCCCTATGTGTTCCTCTACTTTTCTCCTCCACTACCCTCTCCCACCCAGGCCCCAGGAATTAGAACTTTTCAAACCAGATTAGAGTAATATATATGTGTGTATGTGAATGTGTGTGTGTATACACAAACACATACTTATACATTTATATGTACATGATAGATGTGCACAGAGGTATATAAACCAGCAAACATCTGTCAAAAACAGAGTCATACAGTCATTTTTATACCCAGAGTAATAGCACTTCTAGGAGAAATGTTTCTCTGCACTGAGAACGACTCAGGTTTCTTCATTCGTATTAATAGCTCCTTAAAGACAAGGGATAAAGATGTGGGATTTGATGACATCTTTTTTGTAAGTGATTGCCAACTCACCTCACAAACAGTGGCATAGGTATCATTCTGCAGAGGAAAAGAGGAAAGTGACACTACTTAAAATTCTTTAAGTTGGAGATAATTTTATTGACATTTAGCTTTATATATTTCTTTCAAATTAATTTCTTGCCCCACCATTGACCAAAAAAAAAAACAATTAAAAAGCAATCAAAAGCAAGAGAGCCTGCAGCTGGGCCTTCTGTCCAGGCAGGCTAAAGCATTGAACAGCTGTAGAAATTGTTTACATCACTGGAAAATGTTGGAGCATGATGCCTACTGCAAAATCCCAGTCACCTAAGAAGTAATCTGTGATGGATCAGCTCAGAGAATGAAGTGGTTTTGGCAGACGCCCAATAGAGACAGAATCTGAAATGAAAACCACCAATAGCTCTAACTAGCAAAGGCCAGCAGGCTCCTCTGCCCAGGCTGGCCTACTGCCTGCACTGCCGCTGGCAGCAAACGGTACTTTCCACTCATCACTCAGCAAGTGCTGTGTAAGCACCTCTGGGGGTTCACTGTTCTGTACAGCAGACACAGCATGAACAAGATGGAGAGGGTTCCACCCCGATGGGCTTACAGGCCCGTGCAAAAGATACCAAATACATAACTCGACAAATGATTATTTAAATTGCAACTGTAGAAACTGCACCTGCTCCACTTTTTGGTAACATCCATTCTGTGAGGCACATGGTCACCATGTGAGAGGGAGCATAAAGAACTCTGAGGACAGACTGTACGAGACTATACACTCCCTCATAAACATCTGTGAGGACAGACTATACCTGAAAAGCTATGAGGACTATATGCAAGGAGAGGTTAATGTTCTTATTTAAATCTCAGTGGTATAATAATGACTATTAACAGAAAATGGTATTAGGATTACCCCAAAATTACCATGATCCTTATCAATTTAACCTCTAACCAGAACAACCTGAACAAGGAACCCACTTTTAAAAGACAAGATTCTTATTCATGTGATCAGAGTAATTGCAGTGTATCAGGTACTGTCCTTAGCAGGGAGATTCAATTATTATCCTAATTTATTGATGAGGAAAGTGAAGTTCCAAGGGTTTAAGTACCTTAACTAAGTTACATACCAAGTAGCAAAGCTGGGATAAATAAAAAATGAAAAATAAAGTATTTGAGGTGCACTTCCTACATATAGTGTAATAAACCCAACTGTGTGTGACCTCTGGATTAGATGCTGTAATGTTCCTTGTAGGGAAACTTTGAACATGATCTAGGCCTTGCTATCCAAAGCATGGACCAGGGACCATGAGCCCATTGCCTGGGAGCTTGTTACATGTATAGAATCTCAGGTCCTGCCAAAGACCTACTGAATCAGAATCTGCATTTTAAAAAGAACCCCAGATAATGGCACATGAAACTGTGAGAAGACCAGCACTAGGAAATTTTACAAATACCTAACATTTCTCTAAAAGGCCTTTATAGTTTGGAGTAATTTGCATTACTATCCCTGAGTCTCCTGTTTGCAGTACCTTCCCTTGGTCTCCAATTGCATGAGTAATGTTGATCTCAATTTTTTTGCTCATGACTATGTATGGCTATCTACTTTTCCTTTAGAGTCGAGAAAATTAATTGAAGGCCAATGGAAATTCAAATGGGAACCCTCTTAGACAACTTTTCTCTTGAAAATAATTAAAATATTACTAAAAATTTTTTAATTTAAAATTTTCAATTAATTAATTAAAAATAATTAATACTTACACACTTTGAAGCACAGTTTTCCTGATCTACAGGATCCCAAAAATGACATCCTTGGATGCACTGCAAGACATAATAAGAGACAGAGTTGACTGAAGAAACATGACTTTTCTTGTCACCTGGAAGTACAACATAGTCACAAAAAACATTTCAGAAATAGGTATCTATCAAGGAATCTGTGACCTCAAAAGAACCGGGGCCTGGGGGATTCTAAGTAGAGCTGTCATATCTACAGAGAGCAGGGCCTGGTGTGGTTGCTGTGGGGTACCAGGGCTGCTCAGCAGGGGGTGGGCAGGCGTCGAATCCAGAGTGCCCAACTTGCACAATGCCCACTTGTTGCAGGGAAGGCCCAAGACAGCATGGCATGGAGCACATTGTATGTCCTTGGCATGTCCTCATGTGATAAGCAAAACTCAGAGCTGGGGACTCAACCAGAAGACAGCATATCAAAACCTTAATAGGGATACAGTTTGGGCAGTCTGCTGCCCACTAGCTGGCTTCCACCCCACAGCTGCCCTAAAAACCTTCTCCCAAAGTGGCCATGGCCGCCTGCTGGCCATTCTCCTTACCATTCATCATTTATGTGCCCCTGAGAGTGTGCTGGCTGCTCCTCCCGCAGGCCGCAGTGACACTTGCACCCCCTCTCCCTCTCGGTTCCTTCTTCTTTGCCATCACTTTTCTCCTCTGCCCACCCCTTAGGTGTTTGTGTGCTGCACTCAGATTTTTCTCTTCTCACTCTTCAAGCTCTCCAGCAATGAGCTCATGCCCTACCTCAGCTACAACCGTCCTTGGGGCCAATAACCCCCAAAGATGTAACTTCAACTCCTTCCTGAGCTCCAGACCCAGATACCCAATTGTTCCTCAGACACCTCCATTGAAGGCCCTGTGAGCACCTCAAATTAAGCATGTGAAACATTAACTTCCTCATTTCTACCCTAGAATTTGTTCTTTTGCTTGTGTATATCATTAATTTGCTACAGTCCTCTGAGCTGCCAAGTCAGGAACCATGGTGTCTTCTCTTTCCAGCATCCCAGGGCCACATGGACAATCTACCACCAAGTCCTATTGACTTGGGTCTCCGTTATCTGAGATCCAGCTGGGTTCTTCACTCACTGCTCCTGTTTTTCTTCAGTGCCCACCTCCGCTTGCCAACAACCTCATGAGGGACCCCTCTTACTGCCACATTTGGGGTGATATTTTTAAAGCAAAGCCTAAGTATACCCTTCTCTTACCTCAAACTGTGAGTAATTGAAATCAAATTACCAACATGACAGAGTGAGCTCTCCATGGTCGTGTGCCACCTAACTCACCAACCTTGTCATCCACTTTCCCATCTTCCACACACATGCCCTGTCTTTCAAGCAAGCTGAAATACTTACTTTCCTGAACATGCTGGGCTGCCTCAAACCTTTGTGTCTTAGCTCCCTCTGATGGTGCACCCTGTCCCCTCCAGACCTTCCAGAAAATTCTTCATCTTGCTAGTTTTCGTTCAAAGGCCTGCAGGCAAGTGAGGTGCTTTTCCTCTTGTGTATTTTGTTTGTTCCTCACACATATTGCTATTTGGGCTTTCACGGTGCTGTCTGGCTATGGCTCTATGCATGTGTCCTGTCTTTCTACAATATTGAGTGCCCTTTAAAGCAGAGACCCTATTTTATTCACTCTTAAATCCCTATTACCTAATACAGCACGTAGTTCATACTTATACTCTGAGTCACTAAACACTTGTTGAATAAATGGATACAAATGCAGAAAAGTAATAAAGCCATAAATGTAATTGTTGGGAGAAACACTGGAGACTAACCCAACCCTCTCAGATAACACATAGTGAAACTAAGTCTCAGAAATATCAGTTTACCCAAAGCCACACAGCTGTGTAGAATCAAAACCATGGACTTGGATTAGTTCTGTGTTCTTTTCACTCCAACACAGTGTAACCAACTTCATTTTTGAATAGTCTATAATTAGACTCTCCACTATTTTTGATTGAATTTCCTCAATCAAGAACAAATAAAATGAGATTTTACTTAAGAATTATTATTTTTGTAATAAAACCTGACCATTGTCCCTTTTTTATCAATGCAGACACTGTAAAGTTACAGACAATGGAAGCAGTTACTCACCGGTTCACTCAGATTGTATGGTGTTCCACTGTCACGCTGCCTGCCCTGGAGTGAAGAAGGAGGTAATAAATACCAGTTATCAATACTGTGTTCTGTGTACCTACCACACCTTTTTTTTTTTAAGATTCCTGGAACAGTGTTGCCTCCTCAGTGTTTTCTAACTGCAAAGTAAGTAGCCAAATGTTTTAAAATCATTAAATCAGTCCTGAAATCATACCAGATACCCATGCAAATTATAAGATATAATGCCTAAGAATTCTGCAGAAATGATAAAGGTGGGAGTGGGAGTGTGGCCATAAGGACTGTTGAAGGACAATGGAAAGATTCTCACATGGCCTTAAATAATCCTTTGTCATGAGTTAATTAATCAAGTTCAAGGACTCCTGGATTAGAGATTAAGTACAGATTTTTCTTATTTTAAAGCAGTCTTATTAAGAGCAAAGGAAAAAAACACAAACTCATAATTTTACATATAGTAAAACATCAGATTACTCTTCTTGTCACATTTTCACAATTTTAAGAACTTTTTCGTGCTGGGGTAAAATAAAAGAAATGGGAACTTGAAAGTAAAAATCTGTAAATCTCTTATCCACTCCCTGGTCATGATTTGAGTGAAGTCCTTCGTAAACAGAAGAGCGTACAAAAGATATAATAGATTTGTACCTGAATAACATTATGTGGATATGTTCTGATTGTCAACCTGCATCACTTATTTAGAAGTATGAGCAGAGGAAAATTAAGTGACTATTTCTAGTTACTCTACTTGGTATTGTTCAGAACCTCCCCTTAAAAGTTGCTGGATCTGAACCACTGAATTGGAGAGGTGATTAATACAGCAAGGTGATTAAACATCTGTATTGGCTGACCCAGCATTATAAGCAAGATAGGTTCCAGGAGATGCTAGAAAATACAGAGGGTAGAGGAAGTTATTTAAGTATCTGTGTGGCCTTCTGAACAGGCCTTCTGAATGCTTTTCAGAGGGAAGAGAAAAGTTCATTGAGCATGCTCTCTTCCTTCCATGCTTACACGGAAGCACCATCCATGCTGCTCTTCACACTGTCCCCAGCACCTAGAACAGTGCCTGAGCAATAAAGATGTTCAATAAATTATACTAAAGGAATAAATCCAGACTTCAAGATGGCCAACTACTTAAAACTGCTCCGGAAGTCCTGTCCCTTGAAGGCATCATCAGGTGGCCTAGCTTTATGGGGGTTTATTTGAGACACAGGAACCAAAGAATAAATATTGCCTTTTTGTTTTTCTTCTCTTATTTGATGTGTAAATACAGATTCCTCTAATCTCCATTCCCCAGCTACCTATATTTGCAGAGAGAGGATAGGGGTGCTTAATGTGCTTTTGTTTTTAGATAAATACTTGGAGAATAGGAACTGTATCTTTAGGTTAATTGTGCAACCACGTATTAATAGTACTTGTTTCCATTATTTTGTTCAAAATGAAGTTTTTTATTCTCCTTTATATGATTGAACCACAATCATATACAATCAAGTGTAAGAGAGTAAGTTTCCAATTGGATTTTTTCCTCTCTCTTCAAAAATCTTTGTTAGCTTATTAAGGCAAAAAGGTGGACATTGGGTAGTTTCTGTGTTCCATTTTGAACAAAAGGAAAACAGAGATATTTCCTGATAACCATAAAGTCACATCATAACAATTCTGAGCTTTTCTGTTGGCAACTCATAAGATTAAATTTAACAGGCTGAGTGGAGTGCCATCAGGTGGTCTTGGGCAAGGCAGCCTCACGAGTCACATGTATAGGGTTCCGATGAAACATATTCTGTCAGCACCCCTCGCTAGTCTCCACTCGTTCTCCACCCTCCTCGTCATCACCTTAGCTAAATGCAGTGCGCGGCTCCTGTGTTCTAGGCACTCTTCAAGGTGTTTTAAAGTAAATCTCATTCAGTATCTCAACAACCTGTTAGGTAGGTACTGTTGTTAAGTCCATGGTACAGCTGAGACACAGGGAGATTTAGTAAATTACCCAAGTTTAGGATTTGAAGGGGGTTGGGAGCTGCCTCCAGGGCCTGCGCTCTTATCCGAATCATGGATGACACCTGTAATCTGCACCAAATTGACCTTCCTAACTTTGGAGTTATGATCCTCATCAGTTGACTTCAGCTCCACCTGCTCCGTTTATCTGCTTAAAACACACAGTCCCAGTCCCAGATCTTAAATCCTCTTAACACAACACCTACTTCTAGGCACAAGCTTTTCTCTCCCGCCCACCTCAGCCAGAACTAATTTCATTCTTTACTTCTGACCCTAATAAAGGAAACAGAACAAAATGATCTGCATTTTAATCCCATATATGACACTTGCTCCCGATGTAAATTTTAAGTTACCTGTGCTGCCTAAACCTAGTATTCTCATCTGAAACAAAAGTAAGATAATATTTAGTTCATTAAGTTCCATGAGGAGTCAATTAAACAATGTATTTTTTATTATAATAGTATAGTGCCAGGCACCTAGAAGTCAATTATTAGTATGGGCAAATTTGTTATAAATAGCCTTTTGAAGACATATCTTTGATTAATTATGCAATAATTTCTTCAGATAAATTTCTTGATGTGCAAGGTAAAGGTATATTTTCCCTTTGGTATTTATTAACCCATTATTTTCTAGAAATTATTCAATTCACAACCTAACCAAAGTTACATGAAAGTGCTGGCTTACCCAAACTTTGCCAATTATAAATGTATTTTACCTTTGCCAACCTGACAGAATTTGATAATTCATTTTTACTGTGCAATTCCATAGTTGCAGTGAGGTTGATCATCTATCACATTTTTTAGCCATTTATATTTCTTCCTATTCAAAGAAGGCATTCATGCTCTGAACTTATTTTAAATACACATAGACAAACACCCATATGCATAAGGGTTAATAAAATTTTATTTGTCATATGTGATAGTTGGCTTTTTTTATTGACTTCTGTTTATCACCATATAGTTTGACTTTATGAGCAACCATAATTTCTTTTAGGGATTCTGGAATGTTTTATTATACTTTTTAAAGCATTCCCACTCCAAGATTATAGAAACTTTCACTAATTCACTAATTTGTTTTTACCAATTTATTTTATACTCTAATTTATTTATATAATAATATAATATTTAATATTATGTTAGTCACTAATTTATTTTAATATTTCTATGGGGTGAAGTCTTGTTTTGTCTTGCTTTTTTTATTTGTCTGTTTGTATTTAAATAGGACTTTTTAAAAATATTTCCAGGAATTTATTTTAATCTGGCAGTGATACAGGGAGTTGTAGTTACTTAATTCTTTTTTTGTCTTTAACTTTTTTTAAGAGGCTTTTTTGTATTTAGGGAAGTTTTAGATTTACAACAGAATTGAAGTTAAGTTACCTTCTCTCTACCCCAACACACGCATAGCCTCCCTCATTACCAGCATCACTCAACAGAATATTACATTTTTTACTAATGATGAGCCTATTGACACATCATAATCACCCAAATTCCACAGTTTATACTACAGTTGACTCTTGGTGGTGTATACTCTACAGGTTTGAACAATATACAATGACATGTATTCTATGGGTTTGGAAAACGTAGAGTGACATGTATCCACCATTATAATATCAGAGTATTTCCACTGCTCTAACAATCCTTTGTGTTCTGCCTATCCCTCTCCCCAAACCTCAAACCTGGGAACCACTAATCTTTTTACTGTTCCCATAATTTTGCCTTTTCCAGAATGTCATATAGTTGGAACCATACAATAAAAGCCTTTTAAGATAGCCTTCTTTCATTTAGTTATATGTAAGTTTCTTCCATGTCTTTTCATGGCTTGATAGCTACTTTTTTTAGCTCTGAATAATATTCCATTGTCTGGATATACCAGTTTATTTATCCATTCACCTACGGAAGGAGGGAGCTGTTTTCATTCTAAATCGAGAGCCCACCTTTGGTTCGAATTGTCATCTCTACCATATTTCATATTCAACACTCAACATCCATTTCATTTCTGGACTGTGCTCTGTCTCACTGATCTGTCTATTGCTACAGAAATATAAACTGCTAATTTCTGGATATTTTCTAGACTTCTTACATTGTGATTTTTGTTCCATTATCTTGTTAGAAAGCTATATTGCAAGAAAGCCATTGATGTTTGTATATTTTTCTTAAACAGAACCTTCTGAACTCTACTTTTTCTAGCACTCTTTTGTTGAATTGAATTAATACGTCCAGCAGAACACTTCTCAACACTAGGTTCTCAATTGTTGGAATTAGGTACTCAAAAAGTAAAAAAGGTTTTATTGCCAAAGATGACCAGAAAATTGTGACTAACCAAAGCCATTAGTATGCTACCTTGTCCTATGGATCTGCAAAAGAGTATAGCAAAAAGCATTTCCATAAATTATTTGACCATGTATTTCTTTTGTTTCTTTTTCATAAAGAACTGTTCTGAAGAACATTCTTTTTTTTTTCTCTGAAGCACATGACATATATATAATTCAAAAAGATTCAGTCAGATAATATTCTCAACTATGGCACGCAGATCCCTCAATCAGCGGGAAACCTGCGCAGAGCCACGCCGTGTGTCTACTGGGGGGCGGTTCTGACACTGCAACACTCTTTCTTCTGTGTTTCTTTTTAAAATGCAAAAAAAGCCTCATTATCAAGAACCACCCGGTAAAATCAAAGGCGAGCTCCACAGCAAATGTCCAGAATAAAAAGTCAAACAGTATGATAAATCTGAGCACTCTGCCCATCCTTTCCCCGGACCACGGCCGTGCCCATCGCCCAGTCACCTAGCTCCTGTCCCTCTAGGCCCTGTGTGGGAGGCCCCGAGAGAGAGCGTGTCTTATAGTCACCAGAGAAATTGGCACACCATGTCTCTAGCAGTTTCCACCACACCGGCTGGGACTCTCAGTAGGTAGTGTACAGAAGGTAGCTCAATAGAAAAACTAACTGTTTACTCCTACTGCCAAACCCTGACACCAAGGAGCCCACACACAAAAAAAGATAGAGGTAAACTTAACTAAAAAATAAAATAAAATAAAATGGAGCCTACAATAACGGAAACACCAACATCAGCCTTGATATTAGGGAAATTAACAATTTATGGTGGCATATTCACATGATGGATTATTCTAAATATATTAAAGATCTTGTTTCCATAAAAACTACAGGGTATAGGAGAAAACGATGTAATGTTAAATGAAAAAGCAGGGTGCACAACTGTGTATAAAATTACATATATATTTGAGGAAAAAACACAATTAGAGATTAGAGTGGAATTATAGGGTTTTCCCCCTTATTCTCTATTTCTTCTCTATCTTGTAAATAAATTATAAATAACTTATAATGGGTATGTACTCTTGTTATAATCATATAAAGGTTTTTAATTTTTTAATGACTAAAACATTTAATAGCCTCATTCTTCCACTTTTAAGTTTGGATTACAACTGTAAAGACCTAAATATATTATTCTACATTAATGGCAATGAAATCTTCAGCAACAATTTATACAAAATATCAAACTTCTTTAAAAAGTGCTATTATCCTTTGATACTACTAACCAATTAAACTGCAGTTTAAATTAAACCAAAAGACTGTAACACAAAAAAAAATCTTTTTTTAATCTACGACAGGCTTCTATCTGCAATATTTTACCATAATAATGAATATTGTACTGCGTATTTTCATTATTTTTAGAAGTCTAACTACAAGTAGTGTCACATGTGAGCCATCGTGTTATTCCTTTGCCTTTACACAAGGAGAGTGTCTTTCTTTGGCTAAATATTTTTTGGTTTTAAAGTTGATTTAGTGACTGTTTTAAGCATAACTAAGTCACAATAACTGGAAAGATGTGCAACATTATCTATAAGAGGAATGATGACACGCAGAAATGAGGAGGAAAACATAAATTACCATATCAAAAGAACTCATTCCAGAAAAAATTACAAATGCACAAGCAGAAATAGAGGAATTTATGTACAGTCCTTGCTTTTAAAACAAGCTGTTGCTTTATGCGGCACCTGTAACTGCTTCCTTGGTCATCTGCCTCCCCATACAATCATCCATCCACAGTATAAATATTACTGCTGTCTGCAGCTAGAAGGCTTTGCCCTAGGGCCAAACCTATTTTATGCTTCAAAACAAATACAAATTATTTTGTAGTAAATGAGCTTAAATTGATATTTCTTGCAGCCAGCAAAATTGGTTGCATTTAAGTCTCCTTTGCCAAAATATCCCATACTCCCACCCCCACCACAAAAAGATGAACAAATGATTTTAAAGAAATAAAAGAGCCCTACCCTACCTGTAGTCACAAATTATAGATGTAATTATAAATGTTCCTATTTCAGAAAAAAGACTTTATTGCCTTGCTACCACTTCTCATGAGAAAAATTCATATAAAGAGAAAATAATTCAATCTTCTACATGTTCTAGTTCCTACTAAGATAAATATTAGACCAGTAAAACTTACCAGGTTAGTTACACATGACTTAAGACAGATGTTTAAAACTGTACACTGTACCACAGAAATCCATAAGCAGCCAAGAGTTGCAAAATTGACAAGTTTCAGAATAACCCAGTAAATGTTCTTCATCACTTCACCAATGGCAGTTTTTTAGATGATCGTTCTTCTAATTTGCTCCATTTCTCTTATGAATTCTTTGGGTTTCAGTTGAAAAGGTGGCTGGTAGATTTTCTGTTTTTGTTTTGTCATGTTAGAACAACTTTGCCTTTTAAAATAATATTTAGACCTTTTAGTTTAGACCTTTGAATCCTAGGTAGACTATAACATTCAGAATAACAGATATTTCATAATTTAGCTTCCTTTTACTCCCATAAAGAAGTCACCCACTGGCTAAAGGTTATATAGTAGAAGAGCGTTTCACATGGAAAGTAAACAAAGTAGGAAATGCAAATTGGGTTTCAGCAAAAAGCATGTGACACGTGCACAGTTTGAAACTGGATCGCTTCGGTGGATCATCCACCACTTCACTTCCCTGCGGTTGGTTCAGCTAGGCAGGAAATTGGGTTTTGACCATCTATGCCCTAGCAAACCGAAGCATATATAATAAAGAATTAATCAGAGAAATAGAAGTGCCAAAATCAAACGATGCAGCAGAGAGGAAAAGCAGAACCCTTTGAAATCAAATACATATTTTAAAATTAAAAAGCAAACAAAGCTGAAAGTAATAGACAAATACTCTTGAGGGTAAGTTAAAGACAAGGAAGTTAATTAGAGTGCTTTCAGAACTTGACTACACATTAACTAAAATGCTCCCTTATCAGGTCTATTGAGACAGGGAGCTGAAACTAGCCACCCCAGAGACCTAAGATATGTACAAGTGCAGCTGTCTTGAAAAGGAAATAATGTACAAATGTCAATTAGCCTAGCCTTAAGATAAAGTGAAGCAGAGCCTGAAACAGTTTGAAATCTGCAAAGTACAGATAAAGTCATTCTAGGCAGCTACATTTTATAATGCTGAGGATTAACTCTTACAGGCCAGGTATTCTTGTATTGGTGTTCTTCCTTAGGAACACATGCATGAGATTTTGTTTGGAGCTGAATATCTTGTACTAAATGTTGTCAGAAATGGCTTACAACATAAAGATGAGTGGTACTGACTCTAGAATTGACCCCAAAAACTTGTTTCCTTAATAGAAATTCCCCACTCTCCACCTGCTCTTCATTCATTTTCTGCATTTTAAAGAATGTAGATTATGATTCATTGAGCTGCACATTAAGATGTGTGCAGTTTATTGTATGTACCTTAATAAAATAAAGAAAAAAAATAATGTGGATTTAAAAAATGTACAACTATTCAATTTCTTGGTCAGAAGAATATGGCCATCTTTCTATAAAATACACTTTTAAATCAAAGAATAAACTACCTTGTCTAAAGGATTTTCTCATCCCAACAAAATTTTTTTCACTGGGCTACCAGTACCTTTTGTCTTATTAGCATAAACAATATTGTAACTTTTTGTTCACTAACAAAATGGACTACTAAATACTTCTTTGAAAAACCTAAGTATATTCTTTTTTCTCACTTGATCTAACTTTATCAGTGGGATGTAAAAAAGAAGTATCCTTCCAATTTCAAGGTTTTGTGCTTATTCTGGTTTTTAGAATTTAACCAGCACATAGGTTTACACTCATGAAAAAATAGAGTGTGTTCAAAGATACTTGTTGCAGAATTACTTCTATGAACAACAGATTGAAAACAACCAAAAAACCCAATAACTTAATACTGGATCAATAATTTCACTATCTTCTTCACATGATTTTTTTCCAAATGAGTTTTTTTGGACTTCACAGCCTGCTGGTCTCCAGGCACCTAGACTACATTCATGGTGGAGTAGAACTGTTTTGAAAGTTCCATAGTTAAGCTGTATTATCTTTCATGATTCAGCTTAGAAATCATACAGTCACTTTTGTGGCATCTTATTGGTTATCAGAATCACAAAACTGCCCATATTCAAGGAGATGGGAGTTAGACCACACCTCTTGATAGGGGAATGGCAAGGTTATGGAAGAACACATAGGATAGGAGAGATTCTGGCTCCACTTTCAGAAAAAAACAATCTGCTACCATTTGGGCAATCACTGCATGGTTCTGAAATGCAAACATTTCAGCTACCACAGTTCAGTTTATACCAGCCCCCAAACAATACAGCTCAAGCCCCAGTTACCACAGTTATTAACTGTGAGTGATGGCATGAAATGCAGACTTCTCTGCTATCTTTGCATTTCACAAATCAGATATAAATAACAGATGCACATCAAGATTAGGGGACAGTCATGTCACTTCTTTCAAAAATCGTCAGGGATTGGTTGCTCATTGCACATCTGATATTCCATAGTTAGGCTGCCTCCTCATCACCCAGGAATAAATCCACGTGACATTTTACAAATGACATGTGGAAAAGTGAATAATTGAAAGAGGTGATTGGTCAACAAAGATAAAAATATAGGAAAGAAACAAAAGAAATAAAACTTAAATGTAAATTGGAAGATTTGACACAAAGCAAAGGCAACAAAAAATAAGGAACTAAGGTTACATCAAACTAAAAGGCTTCTGTCCATCAAAAGTCAACCTACTGAATAGGAGAAAATATTTGCAAATCACGTATCTGATAAGGGGCTACTATCTATAATATAAAAAACTTATAAAACTCAATAGCAAAAAAATAAAATAAAAAGCCACAAACAACAACAACAAAAAAATGGGTAGAGGAACTGAATTGACATTTTTCCAAAGAAGACATACAGATGGCTGGCAGGTACATGAATGTGTGTTCAACATCACTAATCATCAGGGAAATGCAAATCAAAACCACAGTGAGATATTGTCGCACACTTATTAGAGTTGCTGAATCAAAAAGACAAGAAATAGCAAGTGTTGGCAAAGGTGGAGAAAAGGAAATACTCATGCACTGTTGGTGGGAATGTAATTGGTACAATGGAAAACAACATGGAGGTTTCTCAAAAAACTGAAAATAGAAATACCATACCATCCAGCAATTCCACTTCTGGGTATTTATCCAAAGGAAACAAAAACATTAACTTAAAAGATATTGCAGAATTATTTACAATGGCCAAGACATGGAAGCAACCTAAGTGTCCATCAACAGAAGACTAGATAAAGAAAATATCACACACACACACATATGTGCCAGTGGAATATTATTCAGCCATAAAAAAGAAGCAAATCCTGCCATTTGTGACAACGTGGGTGGAATATGAGGGCATTATGCTGAGTGAAATAAGTCAGAGAAAGATAAATACTGTATGATCTCACTGATATGTGAAATCTGAAAAACAAAAAACAAACTCATAGATACAGAGAACAAACTGTGGTTGCCAGACCAGTGGGTAGAGAGAGGCCAAAATGGGTAAAAATGGGTAAAGGCAATCTAAACATACAAAGTCCCAGTTATAAGATAAATAAATCCTGAAGATGTAATGTACAGCATGGTGACTGTAGTTAGCAATACTGCATTTAAGTCACTAAGACAGTAGATCAGAAAAAAAATTTGTTGATTATTTGTGACAGGTCATGTTAACTAAACTTGTTGTGGTAATCATTCCACAATATATACATATATCAAATCCCTTTGTTGTTCACCTAAAACTAATACAATGTTATATGTAAATTATATATCAATAGGACAAAAATTTAATAGGGTTATAGAAGGAACGGGTGATGATTGCTGATACACTTACTGTTCTACAGGCTCTTGATAATGCAGCAAGAGGAGCTTAGTGAAGGTACATATATTGACATAAATGAGGAAAATGGTTGTAATGAAAAGGAAGAAGATATCCCAGAGGAAGGGACATTGGCAAAAAATTTCATATTAAAGGACCTCTTGACATTATTTCATGACATTGAAAATGCAAAAGATAAAATGTTGGCCCGTGATCCAGACTTAGAAAGGAATATGCAATCTGCCGAGGCATAGAAAAGAGGCTCTCTCTGAATTAAGTTGTAGGATGGGAAGAAGATTGTAAGGAAAAATTGTATATTTTCCCACTCATTATTAAGATCACTTTGCACAGTTTCAGCTTGCAAAGTCATTTTTATGATCCTGCACTACTTTGCAAAACAAAGATTGCCTTTGTACTAAGCCACCATGAGTGGGGAGGCCATAGTTCACAGGCAACTGTGGTTGCCTCCTCAAGGGAGAAAGAGAAAGATTTATTGTTCTCTGACTACCCATTTGTAATGTCTGAATTTTGTACCCTGTGCACATATTACAGAAACAAAAATAAATTTAAAAATACTAATTTTAAAAACTTTCTGCCCTAGGATTTGAAAGTGTAGGATTTACAAGCCTCCAAATTCATCTCAAGATTACAATAGGATACTCTATATGAGAAGAGTTCAGGCCAAATGGGTTCCTCCCAAGTGTCTTTGAACAAAATTTTAGGCACACACAATAAAATTTCTACACCAACATGTAAAATGGAAACTCCTGTAAAATCCCTTATAATAAATTAATTTTCTTGTGGAATCAGTTCTGCAATTCAGAGATCACATTCTGAAACAAAATCTGGTTCATAGGTTGAACCAGTGAGGTGGATTGTGAAGGGACAAATTATAAAAATGTTCCCATGTTCTAATCCTGCTTCAATAGAAAGAGCTTTACAATTGGTTAGCAACAGAGTAGGTCTGATATGATCAAACATATCTGAGTCCTGAAATTCATTTACTGAAAATGTAAAATGTACTGCCTCAAGCTTAGTTGCACTCTAAGAGCATCATATAGCTCCAGGGAAATGAGATTTACAGCCATCAAAAGAAGTTCCAAATGAGGACCTGTTATACTTTTATGCTAGAGAGGAGCCACATCAACATTCAAGGCCTAAGAATTTGCCATGCAAGCAAATTCTTGCTCCAGCACATACATCTGTCATCATCTCTTACTGTTTATCAGGCCACCTAGATGCCTGGTCAGGGTCTACCGTAGCACGTAAGCTGAATTTTGAAACTGGCCAAAGATTGGCACACTGTTCATCACCAGAGCAATAATTATTTCTCTAGTGGGATTTTGGTGGTGTCAGTCAATGGGGAATTGTCCGCTACAGATACAAAGAAGGAAAATATAAAGTAATTAGCTTTTGAGTTTCAAAAGCCAACATGCCAACCTAGAGGAATAGAAGCTACAAACCCAAAGTTCACCTTTTGATTTTAGCCATTTGTTTCTGCTACACTGTTATCATATTAAACTTGTATCTTAGCCTGGGACCTTGGCAGTTGAAATATAAAAGTGGGTTATTTAACATTCTTGTTCTACCCATTCCTTCCCTGAGGCTTGAAGACAGAAGCGGGATTAATCTCTGCAT